TGATAACATAATCTGGAGCTGGAGAAGATTTAGCATTCATATGGCCTTCGTAAATATGCAAATTTTGATCCAAATGAAGTATACGAGAAAATACTAATGCTTGTGGAAGTTCAACAATCAGCGAGAGTAAAGAAATCATACCCCAATTCTAGACCAAATTGCCTGAAAATATCTACATATCTCCATTTGTATTAAGTGCTCCCGGGAATTGTTGACTACAATTTGTTTCTGTATAGTTTTTCACATTGTAGGCACGTCATGAAAACTTCTGATACATCATCTAATTAACCACCATGTCTTACTGATACATCACCAAGTCCTACTGATACACCACCATGTCCTACTGATACACCACCATGTCCTACTGATACATCACCATGTTCTACTGATACATCACCATGTTTTACTGATACATCACCAAGTCTTACCTATACATCACCATGTCTCACTGATACATCACCATGTCCCACTGATACATCACTATGTCCTACTGATACATCAATATGTCTTACTGATACATCACCATGTCCTACTGATATATCACCATGTCCTACTGATACATCACCATGTCCTACTGATATATCACCATGTCCTACTGATACATCACCATGTCTTACTGATACACCACCATGTCCTACTAATACATACTAATAACCATGTCTTACTGATACATCACCAAGTCCTACTGATACACCACCATGTCCTACTGATACACCACCATGTCCTACTGATACATCACCATGTTCTACTGATACATCACCATGTTTTACTGATACATCACCAAGTCTTACCTATACATCACCATGTCTCACTGATACATCACCATGTCCCACTGATACATCACTATGTCCTACTGATACATCAATATGTCTTACTGATACATCACCATGTCCTACTGATATATCACCATGTCCTACTGATACATCACCATGTCCTACTGATATATCACCATGTCCTACTGATACATCACCATGTCTTACTGATACACCACCATGTCCTACTAATACATAACCATGTCTTACTGATACATCACCATGTCCCACTGATACATCACCATGTCCTACTGATACATCATCATGTCCCACTGATACATCACCATGTCCCACTGACACATCACCATGTCCTACTGATACACCACCATGTCCTACTAATACATCACCGTGTCTTACTGATACATCACCATGTCTCACTGATACATCACCAAGTATTACCTATACATCACCATGTCCCACTGATACATCAC